TCAAGCCTCATGGAACTCACACGGCTGCCAATTCCAGTTTCTTGACAGATGGTGCAGCAGCCAGTCTATTGATGAGTGAAGAAAAGGCGCTGGAAATGGGATTCAAACCATTGGCCTATTTGAGAGATTGGTCCTTCAAGGCGTGTGATCCCTTTGAAGAACTTCTCTTGGGACCTACGTATTGTTCACAAGAAGTACTCTCCCGCATGGGACTCAACATGGAAGCAGACATTGGTGTCTTTGAGATCCATGAAGCCTTTGCCGGACAGATTCTATCCAACTTGACTGCCATGGACAGTCAAAAATTTGCCGATGACAAGTTTGGTGGAAAAAAGGTTGGAAAGGTCGATTTCGACAAGATGAACACCAAAGGAGGATCGCTCTCCATTGGGCATCCCTTTGGGGCCACTGGATCGAGGCTCGTTACCACGGCATCGCGTCGGCTCCAAGAAGAAAACCAACGCTTTGCATTGGTGGCGGCTTGTGCAGATGGTGGAATGGGGCATGCCTGCGTACTAGAGCGTTATGATAACTAGATTTTAAATGATAATAAAGTAATAAGTGATCCCTGAACATGTACCGGTATAGGTTGTGTTTGTGCAGGATTGTAGCATTATGTTTGTTTCAGTTAGTTAAAGATGAAGCAAGCCAAGAATACCAGCAGCAGGTGAACTTACTGGTACCTCTCTAGAGCTTTCTGGTGCGCGTCTACTAGAGAGTAGAACCGAGTTTTGGAGCCACAGTAAACTTACTTGGAACAAATGATTGATCCCAGTCAAAAGGATACCGGTATCATGCCATCCACAGTCTCTCCATCAACCTTTGTTTGGGCTTTGTGCTTCGAATATCAAAATTTTCTTGCCGTGAGGGCTCGCTGTACAGTACTACCGGTCCCTATCCATTTGCGAAGGTGTGCGTCTGAAGAACACCGGATGTCCAGTCTATGACTGAAGCAATCTGGAAAGATAGGTATCTGATGTCCATATTTGCAATGGTTTGAGGAATCAATATTACCCCACTTCCTCATGGTCAACAATATCTTATCTTTTGCAACCGTTGAGGAGCTTGTCGTCGTTGTTGCTCAGCTGCTCATCGTCACCTCCCGCCGACAAAGCAGCCTTGAAGAAGTACAACAAGTCGTCCTTTAGTCTCTGCAGGCAGCGGTATCATCCTCAGATCCGACCGACAGGAGATTGCTGCTACTTCTTAATATCCGAGATCACTGCACTGCTTAGACGCTACATAACTGTTTGATTTGATTTGATTTGATTGATGTATACTACTATAGATAGAGTCCAGGGTATGCCGCAATGAGGTCCTGGAAAATCTTTGGGAACAAAGGCTCATCCCAGGATGAAGACGGAGATTCCAACAACGCCGCTAGGTCCGGGCAAGGGTGAGTTGCGTCTATCCGTTATCTGCGGCTCAGTCTGCAGAGAAGGGACCTATTGGTGATCTTGGCCGAGTTGGATCCATATACCCCAGATACCCTTAACGGGTCATTGTGAGGGGTCCTTCTCCCTTCTTCATCTCAATTGTTGGATCCATGCTGTATCTTATCCTCTCTTTGTGATGCTCTGATTCAACAGGTCCCAAGGAGGTCGAGGTGGAGAATCCTGCTGGCTTTATGGGATTCATGGCAGGTCGATATGACTCGAGAATGGAACGGAATGTTAGTATGGCAGCGAGAAACTTGGGTGATGGCGTCCAAAAGATCGTCATGGCTGCGAAAGGAAAGCAGGGCACCAGTGGAGAATGGAAGGCAGAATTGCTCAAACTCTTGGGAGCTGACAATGACAAATCAGAAATTGACGTCTTATTGGAAAACTCAGCCTGTGAAAAGTTTGTCTTGCGCTGCATTGAGAATGAGCTACCTCCCAACCTGATCCACTGCCTCCGTCTCTTGCGGGTGATGGAGTTGCAGCATGCCAATGAGGCACACGAACGGGGCGAGAGCAACCCAAATCCTATTGGTGAGAGCGCCACAATCAAAGTGTCCAAGTTGCTCTGCAAATTGTGCAAAGATCCAAGCGTTGGAGAGCAATTACGACCCCATCTGTTTGGTCTCCTCGCATTGAGTGGAGCATCCTATCCTCAGTCGGGAATTCATGTGGCAAAGGCGTCATCCTGAGGTCATCATTGCCTTTTCGGAGTTCTGCTTGTCCAAGTCTTTGGTTCAGTTCCTGCACGAACGGAACATGATCATGCACATGACAGACGACATCAAAGAGCTCACCGGGATGACCAACTCCAACGGACAACAAGCGCCACTGTCGCTCTACGGAAAGGAAGCAGAAGAAGCAGGGTTGTGGGCCATCTCACTCAAAACTGTGGTCCATATGGTAGTTAATTCATGCAACCATGAGTGTCTCGATATGCTGCAAGACTTCAAGAGCGCAGGAGGATACGACGTTATGCGCTATGCCGTGTTGAATGGCACATCCAAACACGGTAAAGAATTGATTGCCTTAATTCCGCTCTTGACTTGCTGCTCGACGGACCTTCAGGATGAAACCACTGGCAGTGGGTCTAAACTTGCCACAAATCAACAAGCGTTCGAGGTTGTCGAAGACCTCATGCTCAAGTACAATCCGTTGGTCAGAGCCTACAAAGACGAACACAATGGTCAGAAACCAGATTTTTCCAGAGAAGGCGCCATGCAATATCTGGTAAACTTCTCACTAAAGACAGCTGCAAAAGTTCGTTTCACGAATGGATCGACATCAGAAGAGTCAAGAGCACAGTACGACATTGAATCCGAGTTGCTCGATTGCACGCTCCAGTTGTACTCTAGTCACCCCAACAACTACGACATTCTCGAGAGGAAATACAACGTGTCTCTCTCTCTTTTTGATCGCGTATCCAACATTCGATGACGAGGGATTCAAGTGTTCGTTTTGAAGACCTTGGAGTTTGTGCTCACGGGCGTGGCCAACACGGATGCCGTAAGACCGCTCCATGCAACGGTGGAGGTATTCTTCTCACTCTGCAAAGCACTATGACAAGTGGGGAGGGCATCAACGGAGAGGGAGGACTCGATAAGAAGCAGCTCGATGCCTTCTTCGAGGACGCGGAAATGGTGGGCGGAACAATGGAGAAGCTTTTGCAGTTCGATCACAGGGTGGCACCAATGTTTGTCGAACTCGGAATCCAACTACCAACGTTGACGAGATTCTCGACTTGATTATTGACACTAGTAAGAAAAGCGACTTTGGAACTACGTTTGAACGGGATGGAGTCGATTTCCAAGTCCCACCCACTTCGACACCCATCGACCGCACTGTTTCCGCTGTTTGCCGCATATTGAAATTGCTCATCTCACAGCTGCCAGTGAGGTTCGGAGATCCCGACGACGACGGCAGAGAAAAAAACGAAACCACAAAGCTTCACTCGCTTATGCGCCGAGTCATTCTGTCTCTCGGGGAGGAATCGGCAAAGGCAGCGGCAGGAGTATTTGAGGCGCACCTTTCGCAATTCTCGGACCCACAGGTGCTGGAGAATGACATGGATTTTGTTCTTGATATCCTTGACTACTTCTCCAAACTTACCGGATCCTGCGCCATTGAGGGGCTCGAGCTGGCGACCGATCCTACCCCAGCTGACCTTTCGATCACCATCTACCGGGAGTGCGTCGTGTTGTCTATGCTTCGATCGGTGCTGGATTCTAGAAGCTGGGCACGCGACACATTCCGCGACTGCGGAGGCTTCACAAGCTTGACAAGGATTGTGCTAAGCCTCAAGGGTGTGGCCAACAGTAGCGATGGTGGTTCAGAAGAAGGTTTTGCCTCGTTGGTAAAGCTACTTCAACATATCCTTGGTGTCGTGGATGCGGCCAATGGAAGCAAGGCTCGCACGACTCGCTCGTCAGATGTAACGGCCATACTTGTTGACCCAGTGTCATCCCAGCGAGCACTGGCTACACCAGCAGCAGCAAATCGATTTTATCTGAGACGGCGAGGTTTCTACCTTGACCTGGCAGCTTCTCTTGTTGTTACGGGGGCCCTTGACACCGAAGAGAAGGCAGAGAGTCTCTTTGATGTGGCAATGGGACATATGGATCCCCAGATGAAATTCTCGGACGCCGCCAACGGTGGCGACAAAGGCGCAAAACCGGATATTTGGATGCTTCGAAACCCAGACGCAATTCGCCTCGTCCTTGCGCTTGCAATGCTCACGCCCAGTAGTGCTGCTCACGGGAAGGAAATGTCAAAGAAAGTCTTGGACCAGATGCTCGAACTGTGCACCGACGAGCACACGGGTTCGACACTAACACAATTTGCAACCACTGGAATGTGCTGGTCATTGACCAATCCAATGGAATTTGCTCCGCTCTTTGACGACGCGACACACCACCTTCACACGAAGTTTGTGACCCTGCTGAGAAAGATAGCTGCCTTCAGCATGTCGCACTCGGATTTTGTGTCGCTGCTGCGATCTGTGGCAGGTCCTATTCTCAAGGACGAGAGCGTGGGTCGTATCAGGCTCCCTGTGATCAGTTCGTCCGTTGCTCGTTCCGCACCTCAGCCTGCGCTGTTAAGCACATCTTCAGAAGCATTCAAAGAAAAGGACGATGACTTTTGCAAACGCCTGAAGTCGCTCTGTGTGATTGCAGAGAAGGGCGACCGGGCTCCTTTGTGTCGAGTGGGTGGTGACACAATTAACACCATCGCCGTGCTACTGCACCAAACAAAGCTCGAGGAAAGACTGTATGCTTGTGCTCATGAGGGGCGCCTCAAATTCATGGAGATTGAGAGCATTGATGGCTCCGCCCTTACCTCCGAAGGATTGGCTTCCGCAGGCACAGTCGCACCAGTTTCCGGCCAGGGTAGTGAAAGAGTTTGGACGCCGCTCGCTAACTCAGGATTCTCGTACTCGATGTGGCTACGACACAGTGCGATGGGCAAAGATAAGACTCTTGGAAACTTGTACGTGCTGGATATCTCGAGTCCTGCTTCGGCGCAAACCGACGGACAGAGCTCTGTGTTCCTTTCGGTTTGGTACGACGTTCAAAACATGACCTTCAACGTCGTTACTTCAGCTTCAAACAAGAGTGACCCCATCAGCTTTCCAGTATCACCGTTAACCCCAGATGTCTGGCACCATATCTTATTGACATTCACTCCGCCAAAGAGGCAAGGAATGATGTCGAGGAAGGCCATGTTGAATCTATTTGTTGATGGACGTCCACTGGAGGCTGATGTGAAGGTGGAGAGCGTCAATCTACCCCCAAATTCTAAGGTCATCATCGGTGCCCCAAATCCAACTTTGGCAACCAGCGGCATTATCAGAGGGTCCATGCCTCACTGGGAGGTTGGATCTGTGCTGATGCTCTCAACCATCTTGCTGGATTTGGACGCAACAGCAATCTTCACGTTCGGCCCAGACTTTCCCGGTCTCTTCTGGGGCGATCGACCCCAGAGGCTGTCCCTAGCTGCAACGGGAACTACAACTTTCTCCATGCTTGCCGAGAACGGTGAAAGAGGAAGTGTTGCGAGTGCTTTGCGACGCCGAGACTTGTCAAGATTGGAGGTTGCTGGCCTGATCGCCAGAAAGGGAGTTGACGCTCAAAGAGTCGAAGACAGAGACTCGCTTGCCTCTTTGGGTCTCCTTTGCACTTTGCCACCGGAATGCATTGTGTTTGGCTATCGCTCAAGCACTGTTACTCATAAAGTACAGTCGGAGAGTCGCAGAAACGATTACGCCCCTGAGCGTCTTGTGAACTTGGCAAGAATCAATGCTACGAACGAGACAGCTTCCACCGACGCAATCGTACATGGAAAGGCCAGCGTCGTGGCTCCAAATTGCTTTGCGGACAACCTACAGTGGGTCGGCGGACCATCGGTTTTACTCCCTGTTGTGAATGCAACTCGATCGGTTCGGTCCATCGCGCTCTCCCTTCGCCTTATTCGAGCCAGCACACACAGACACACTCCAAACCTCCAAATGATGCAAGCTGGGGGTGGCTATAGAATGCTTGCTGTGTTGCTAAAGGAGAAGCGCGTCGTTGACGAGAGGATTCTGGACCAATGCATGGCCTTCGCTGTGCATGGATTCTACTCTTATCCCAGCAAGGAAGAGAAGGAGCAGGACGACGACGAGCAATTCACAGCCGTCGTTTCTGACTCCAGCAAGTGGGTCTTCTCTGATCTTGACGCAATGAAATACCTGCTGCTCAATCACCAAGTCTGGGACGCAAGGTTTTCCGGTCCTCAAATTCCCATTCGGCTACTCTCGTTTTTGAATCGCTTGGTTGGACATGCAGCGGTACACAAAGCCTTCAATGCTAGGAGGTTGCATTTGCTTGGTATTGTGCGATGGGCATTGCACCTCATGCTGGATGCTGCAGACTTGTACAATATTGGTCATTATGTCAAACATGCGTCTCCCGACGATACCTCTGTGAACAGAACTGCTGCCGGAAGCAGCTGGTACTGTGAAGCTCCAGCGGTTGACGATGTTGCAGTTGGAGGGGATCCAGGCAATCCCTTCTTGCAAGGGTGCAAAACTTTGCTTCGTCGTGTTTTGACGTTCATGTTGACCCCAGGAGACTTGGAGGCTGTTGCAGAAGCCGTCATGTATACGGTTTCAAGCAGTGCGTCGTCCGCCAAAGGAGGCGATAAGAAAAGGGGCCGCGGAGGCGACTCAGACGCTGGCCTCTTGTTGCCCGGTCAAATTGTACGAGTTTACCTCGTCAGACTCTTGGAGGAGCTCATTGTGGATGGCGTGAACGAGATTGTGGCATCAGCGGTTGCTGGCGACAGCAAGGAACAACCTGTTCGACCCCACGCAGGTGGCATCGCGAACCAAACCAAGTCGTACCTATCAACAACTGTATCAAGGGGTCGCCTGCCTGACGGCGATTACCACCCGAAACATCCCCAGGTTCAAAACTTTCTCAAGGCGTTCGCTCGGGTTTTAACACCTGTTTGGTTTGCTTCTCTGCTGGAAGGCTGCCATGACCAAGCGTCTGCCTCAGCCGTCCTTCGGCTGATGATTTTGATGCTTCAGGGCTCTGAGTCCTTCGAGGACGCATTCGAGGACTCTGGTGGATTCGCCCCCTTGGTGCTCAGTATTCCCAAGTTTTCAACTTGTCCTGGGATCAACATGGCCATGCTCAGTCAGCTACTGCACGTCCCAATTCTTCATCTCCCCTGCTTTCCAACTCTTGACGCAGAGCAGCTGTACGAAGTTTTTGACTCTGAAAGTGAGGAGCCTGACGAAGTGATCAACGAAGACGGATCTGATCCGTCCTGTGGAATATTTGCCCTCTTGGCAGAGTGTCTTGGTCGAAACATCCAGCTCGCGCTTGCCGAGAATGAACAGGGAAGAAAAGCCAGCGAAACAAACAAAGCAGTACTACAGTTGTTGAAGAACCGACACACAAACTCACTCTCCTTCCAGCAGTTCTGCTGCACACCGGCGTTCCTTGAGCCTTTGTCACAGGCTTTGTGCCTCATTCACGACGAAAAGCTACAGCTACAGCAACGCGCAGGTGGGTCGCCTCGAATTTCGGATACGTTCGAGCCGAGGTACAGCAGGAGTGCCTCCCGTCGCGGTAATCTTGCTGATGTTCCGAAGAACGTGACTCCAACGGAGCGCTTCATAGGAAAACCAGAGGAGACAGGGAGCACTGGAGTCGGCATGGTAGAAATGATTCGATTGGTTGTTTCACACGCTGTAATGACAGGCCCATTTGCGGCGCCTCTGGTGAGCGCGCTCTTCAAGTCCTTCCCCATTCACGCATCGCCGGAACAAGTCGAAGCTTTCCATCTCGTCCTCATTGACCTTTGCAAAGCAGTGGTTGAAGAAGCCTTGCAACACGGAGACAGCATCGCTCTTGCCAACTGCATCGGGGTGAGCTCGGTGCTTCTTGACCAACTCATGGCGGGTTTCTTCACATCAGAGCACGTTCTGGAGGCTGTTCGCATGATTCTGTCCATTCTTCAGTGCATCACGACTACGGAATCCTTCGCGGCTAGCCAATTGGATGCCTCGGAACAGTCCATGTTGAATCTGGACGCGGCACACATGGCCAGGCTTACTTGTGTTGCAGCTCTTCGCAACAGTCGTCCAACTGGGCCCGAGGATGTGGGAGACCAAGACTTGCAGCTGGCCGTTCTCAAGCAAATATCGTCAAATATTCAGTTTTTGATGTTTTCGGCAAACATTGGTCAGTCGTCAAGAAGTCGGACGTCGAATAACTCCTTGCTCAGACCGCAGCCGGGGACAAAGCTCTTTCCGCTTTGGCAGTCAAGCAGTCTCGTGCGATGTGCCCCACCATGGAAAGTGTGTATGTACCCAGATCTAGCGGAGACGGATGAACCGGACCGGATGTTCGTGGTACCGCTCATGGTTGAGATCAATATGCTGCTTCTGGATTCGAGGGAAGTAATTCGGGACGAATCAATTGCCGTGGTAGTTGCGCTGTTGCAGCTACGTAGAGGAATCATGTCGGAGATTCTAATTGCCGAGATCCGCCATGGGGACCGCAAGGAGACTATTGACGTAATGAATCGAGGTGGCTTCAGCGCGCTTCTTGCTGCCCATGAAGCTGCATCTGCATCGGGAAACCTTGCAGCTGGCGGGGCTGGCAAGCGCAAGTATGGCGCTTTTTTTGAGTGGCTGGAACGCAATGAAGCGAAGGTGCAACTTATTTTTGAGCTTGTGAACACAGAAGCAGCTCGTTTGTTGCCAGGGTTGGAGTCCGGTGCTGCTACACCTCAGGAAGCAGTGGAAAACGAGCAGAAACTCATGCTTTTGAAGCTGACGTCACAAGATTCTTCAGACCGTACAATTTTGGGCGGATTGGAGAGAGCAGAGCTAGCTCAAAGAGCGTACGACAAAACAGCAGAAAGTCACTCCTACTGGAAGCGCCAGGGATTTGACGACCTGGCTTCAGGTGCCATGCAATGGAAGTTCCTTCTGAGGCAATTGAAGGGTTCTTGTACCATTTGGGAAGGAGGCAGGAGCTACGAAGAAATAACCTTCTCAAAATGGAAGCAACAGTTCTACTCGATGTTGAAGAAGAAGAGCAAGCATTCACGCAAGCTCTTCGAGCAGGGACTTCTCAGTGGCATGGCTGCACCCGAGCTCATCAAGAGGTGGAAACTTGACCTGTCTGAAGGCCATGAGCGTCAGCGAAGGCGCATGTTACCAAACTACGAGTTCCATGGTCTTTATAACCTTGACGAACTCGAAGACGACGACGCTCCGCCTGGATTGAAGCAAGAGGAAGATCAATCGAAGTCAATGAACCTTTCTATGGATAGCATGTTCATGTCACAGGCAGATTTCTTGCGTGGTGCTGAATTCGAAGCCACGGCTGATCTGTTGAAGGAAATGAATCTGAAGAGAGCCACTCACAAGGACGATGACGATGATTACTACGATGAAGCGGACGAGAACCAGACCGAAGCGACAGCGGCAACAAGCAATGACGGTAGTTCCATCGCGACCAAGGAAGACCCCGAACCTGGCCAAAGACAGGACCGCGAATCCAACGCACCTGCTCAGAACCAACAGCCACTCCCACCCCCTGATGCACAACAGCAAGGAGGAGAAGGCGATTCAAGTTATGAATTGATTACTGGGTTGCTGCAAGCTGGGGACTGGCCTTTGAAGTCGTACAACGTCAGACGTTGCACGGGTCTGGAAGTCAGACAAGGACTGCTGCTTTGGTGTCGTGATGCTGTGTATATCGTTGATGGCTTTGAGCAGAGTGGCGGTGACGGTCTGGACGGAAAGATCACCAGGCTGGAGAAAGAGCAAATCACTTATAACATCAACCTGAAGTCCAAACATGGCAAAGGAGCCGATGCAGAAGCAGAACCAGAGTCCGCCCAAAAGAATGAATCCAAGGGAGAAAAGGCGTCCGCGGACAACCCGAATGAAGTCACGTATCAGCACAGGAGTCAGAGAATTGCATTCAACGAACTACACTCTGTTTTCCCTCGAAGGTATCAGTTGCAGCCTATCGCTCTTGAGTTCTATGACTCCAACAATTTCGGCACGTTGATTTCTTTCACAAACAAAGCCGAGAGGGAGGAGGTTCTGACCAAAGTCCTCCAGTCGCCCCTTCCGAACAGCATTTTCAGTTCCAGTTATGGGTCCTACATCAACTTCAAGAAGTTCATGAACAGTCTGAAAACGAAGATCGTTTCACAGTGGACCAGCGGGAAGATTTCCAATTTCGATTTCCTGATGCAGCTCAATTCTTTTGCTGGAAGGTCTTACAATGACTTGACTCAATACCCTGTCTTCCCCTGGATCATCGCTGACTACGACAGTGAAGAAATCGATCTGAATGATCCCAAGACATTCCGAGACCTCTCGAAGCCAATGGGTGGCTTGAACGAAGAGAGAGCGCACCAGTTCAGAGAACGATATGATGCGCTCGCCTCTTGTTGTTTTGATGAGAACGATCCACCACCGTTCCACTACGGTACACACTACTCGTGTGCTGCGTATGTACTTTACTATCTGATGCGGATGGAGCCTTTCTCCCGTATGGCAGTGTCTCTTCAAGGTGGTCGTTTTGATGTCGCGGATCGTCTTTTCCACGAGGTTGGCAAGAGCTGGAGGAGTTCCAGTCAAGAGAATCTTCAGGACGTTCGTGAATTGATCCCAGAGTTCTTCTACCTACCAGACTTCCTATCGAACACCAACAACTTCGATTACGGAATGACTCAAAAGGGAAAGCAGGTGCATGATGTTGTTTTGCCAAAATGGGCGAAAGGAGACCCGAAGAGGTTTGTCCGAATCAATCGCCAGGCTTTGGAAAGTGAATATGTCAGCAAGAATCTCCACCAATGGATTGATCTTGTGTTTGGGTACAAGCAGCGGGGGCAAGAAGCCATCGATTGCTTGAACACTTTCGTTCATGTTACTTACGAAGGAGAAGTTGATCTAGAGTCCATGACGGACCCAGTTCAACGCGCTTCCACTATTGCTCAGATCGAGAACTTTGGGCAAACACCAAGCCGCCTGTTTCGAAAGCCATTCCCTCAAAAGACTGTCTACAGGTCATGGAGAGATCGCCATATTGAATTTGGAAACTTGTCGTACCTGACTCCATTAACGCCACCCCTTTGCATTGTCGGAGCTCCACAGAGAGTTGCCTTGAAAGTGATATCAAAGGAAACCTGCAAGTTGGGTGTTCTTGAGGACTCTGACAGGCCAGTGGGAGACTTGTGCCTGCAGAAGGGGCAGCTTGTGGGTGTTGGAAGTATGTGCGCACTGAACATTGCCTCGAAAAAGTATGTGCGCTTTGGAGCCCCCAACAATGGTATTAGTGTGCACGTGGCTGCTCCTTCAATACGCCAACGTGAGCTGAACAAGATTTACAGTATGCACGATGGCTTGCACCGAGCGCCGATATGTGCAGCGAGAGCATCATTGAATGGTCACTGGCTTGTGACGGGCTGCATCGATTCATCTGTCCGTGTCTGGTACTGGAAAGACATGAGCGTGGAACTGCGCGCTACTCTTTGTGGCCACGAAGGTTCGCAAGTGAAATGCATCGATGTCAGCACCGAGTTTGGTATCATTGTCACTGGTTGTGATCACGGAAGGGTTATTTTGTGGGACCTGCGAACGCTTACCTTTGTTCGACAGTTGCGGTTCAATACAGACGACAACAAGAAAATTGATGCCCTGTGGTCTGGGAACCCAGTTGTCTCTGTTTCCGTCAACAACAAAAATGGAAACATTGTTGCCCTGGTTGGTCTCGATTTGTGTGTTTTTGACGTGAATGGCAATCGATTGGCGTCGTGTGGTCCTTTCAAGGACAATAGAGCGACTTGTGCAATTTCAACAGACGGCCCCGAATGGATGGACCAAGGAGTTGTCGTTGTGACAGGGCATGAGAACGGAGAAGTCAAACTGTGGAGCATCGACTACGATGAGCAACAATTGATCCTTCGCCACGTCCTAATGGATAGCCCGCACATGAGTGCCATCACAGCGCTTCGTGTCACTGGTGTTGAACGACAAGATACCCTACTTATTGGAGACAAGTCTGGGCTTATGAGCGTTTGCAAGTCTGTGACGCTCGATACTTTCAGCAACGACGAGCTTGCGGTGGTGGTTGCGGAGCTCCAATCTGGCATGAAGCAGGTACAAAAGCCAGGGGAAGCGCTGATGTAACTTCTGGCTGTTGGTAGTATCACTTGTGGTTAAAATACAAAGACTCACTTACATTTTTATTAGATCTGTTTGTACTTGCTGTTTGCACACTAACAAACTAGACACATTGGGCAGCTGATAGATTGCTGTCCGGCAGTGGGCTGGCTGTAGTTCCATCAATCAACTTTTTTGCTGGCAAGACGGCTCAGCCCATCAACACTTTATGCAATGAAAACTGTTCAACCAGCTGAGGCATCAGACAGATGGTTTGGAGAAGTTTAGGATGCCCGTGAAGCAAAGCAACCTGCACCTCCAGGTAAATAATAAGGGAGTAACTTATTGGAAATTGGAATTAAGCTGAGTCTACTCTATGGTATCCCCAACCACTGGATTTTGCTCTTCACTGGTTATTCTGTGCTCCTACTGTACTTGTTTGAATGGATAGTCATGAATTTTAAAAGGTTTAGTCAGTGGTATTCTGTTATTCATTAACTTGACCACTGGACTTTGACTGGTTTTGGACTCAAACTCATACTCATGAAACAAGTTGTTCATTTTTTAAAAGAGACAGCTGTGGATGCAGCTATGTCATACATGTCGTACAGAAAATGTTCAAAGAATGGGGTAAAACTACATTTACCATCTATTTTAAAGTTACACATTATGTTTCCTAATCCTCCCTCAAAACTGTCTCAACTGTCTCAAGACTTGAGACAGCTGTCTCCAATTGATTATTGGAGACTATCTCAAAAGGAGACAGTGTTCTCCTTGGATCACCTGTGATCCCTGATGAAAACCACTAAATTCAACTTTTGTTTGTGCTTTTTTTCTCAAAGCCAGTCTTTTACCCCCAGGTGCTGCAAGTCAACACAGGCAAAGGCTCACCAGGAGCCAGTCACAGGTTCCAGGAGACACCACACCCTTCTCTTGTAGATCTACTATACTATGACATTCGAATTGGAGCGATTAATAGCTGACTATACAGTACATTGTGTTGCTTGCAGCTTGGAAGAGTGGCACAACCAAGTGATGGATAACAAATAGGTCGTCCCGGCACAGGTCCTGCACACTGCCTGATAGCTGGGGAAACCAAGTGGACTTCACTCTTGCTCAGTTCAATAGGATTGGCGGCTTTCCTTCCTTCGTTCTAGTAATATATGGATCGACCAGAGAAGTAACCGCCAGCGCCACTGTTTCTTATTTCTGCACCGTCACTTGGTGGGTATCTCTGAGACTTGTTGTCTCTCTGTGGGTGCCCATTTGATGTCATTTTCTTGCCTGCTTTCATTGCTTCCTTCTTCTCACCTTTTCCTTGCTTGCCTCCCTTCATCGTCTTGGCAGTTTTCTTCTTCTTGTGCTTTTTGGTGCCTTTCTGCCTGCCCTTGTTCAAGTGGCTTCCTCTCAGTTTCTTGAAGCCAAGTGCATCATCGTCCAGCTTGTAACTGTAAGACCCTTCAGGAGAATCATAGTACCCAAAGAGCCGGTCAAGTTCATCCCATTCTACAAGTTTGCTTCTTGGCGAGGGATGGCCTTTTGTTGAAGTGGGTTTGCCATGATTGTGTGAATGGGGTCCACCTTTGGACATTTTCTTGTTGTAACTGGAGTCATTGTCTTCACGGCTGTGGTCTCCTCCCTTGCCCTTTCCTCCGCCTTTGTCGGTGGTGGACTTGTGACTGTACCAGTCGTCATGGTAATGGTCTCCACCCTTGCCATTTCCTTTGCCGGTGGACTTGACTGTACCAGTATCATGGTAATGGTCTCCACCCTTGCCCTTTCCTTTGCCGGTGGACTGTGACTGTACCAGTCGTCATGGTAATGGTCTCCACCTTTGCCATTTCCTTTGCCGGTGGACTTGTGACTGTACCAGTCGTCATGGTAATGGTCTCCACCCTTGCCCTTTCCTTTGCCGTGGACTTGTGACTGTACCAGTCGTCATGGTAATGGTCTCCACCTTGCCCTTTCCTTTGCCGTGGACTTGTGACTGTACCAGTCGTCATGGTAATGGTCTCCACCCTTGCCCTTCCCCTTGCCGGTGGACTTGTTGTGGCTGTGGTCTCCTGCCTTGCCAGTGGACTTGTAGTAATCAGTGTAGCTGTGGTCTCCACCCTTGCCCTTTCCTTTGCTTTTCACAGACTTGTGGTGGCTGTAGTTGTCATCACCGTTGTCATAACTGAAGTCATCATCTTCGTGGCTGTGGTCTCCTGCCTGATCATAGCTATCTCTGTAGCCATTGCACGGTTTGAAACAATCGTCGTCATCGTCATCCCATCCTGAATAACCACCACCCTTGCCTCCCTTGCTATAACTGTGGTCATAGCTCAGAGTTCCGCCATTATTGTCGTACTTATGCTTGTGCAGTCCGCCCTTGGACGACTTCTTGCCTTTGGTGGCATCATCTGGAGGGTTGTTGTCCTTGCCTTTGCCTCCACTAGATTTATGACTGCGGCCGCTTTCCCCTTTTCCTCCTTCATCCGAGTCGGTATGGTTTTTGGGATCATTGCTGCTTGTGAAATAAACATTTGCGAAAGTTAGATCGATACGACGTAAAAATGCGTCGTGTCTCTAACTTGAAGCTTCTTTAGTACATACCTGAGATAGTCATCGAAGTCGTCTTCCTCTTCCTTCCCATCGATGTCTCCACTGCTCAAGTAAGCATCGTCGTGGTAATCTTCGCGGTACTCATCGTCGCCATAATGGTCGTCTACTTCGTCCCAGTGAATCTCTTCACCCTCGGACTTTTGATCGGGACTCATGCCTCTATGCCCACTCTTTCCCATGTGCTTGCTACGAGATCTTCCCTTGCCATGTTCACCACCTTTTCCGTATGTTGTCTCATGCTTATTCGGCTTGTCGACAGAGTCATGGCTGTAGGAATAACCCAAAGTCCGACGACGGACAACGGGGCTTCCATGTCGATGGGTCTGCAAACAAACGAAGAACACAACTTTGTTAGAAACGAAGCTCGATCCCGAGATAGTCAGTGGTAAGTGCAACGATATCCTCACCGGAAACTTCGGCAATGGATTCGGGGCCGGGGTATCCACTCCAATATCTTCAGCTGAACTCAGCGCAGCCAAAGCAGCGCCCAAAATGAGTGCCAATACAATGCGCATCTTTGTGTCGAATGTTGTTGCTGTTGTTGTCGTTTTCAAAATGCAGTTTGATTGCCAATAATAGTAAGAGCTGAATTTGTGCGATCCTTGCATTCGCAACAACCTTACACTGCCTTTGTCGTTTCCCACTTTCGGAAACTTGGGCAACGGCAAGCCCAAGAAGACACCGGGAAATTCCATATTCTTAGCTCAACTCGTCCTGAGTAACACATCGTCAGTGAGCGTTGATTGGTGAAACGTTGAAGCATTGTTTAGTCATTCCAAAGACAGTCGCGCTCTGTCGAAGAGTCCATGGATGCATTCATTGATTGTTTCTCAACAGATCGTGGCAACATCTCGAAAGATAATCAATCGATCCACATGATGTCGTTTCCCAACAGAGGAGTCCCAGGTGCAACCACATGGCCTCGCACCAATTCGGTGCACTGGTTGGTGAGTACCGTTACGGAAGACCTGTTTACCGGTGCTTCCTCTTGCCTTCATTTTCACCGCGAACAAAGAGTTCGAGTGTTCAAGTTAGTTAGATAAGCATAGACGCCAATGCCACTATCGGTATGTGTTTTCGGTTTTCCGGCTAGCTATAAGCCTGTAGTCTGGTGAGGCATCGATCCCGTGTAAACACCCCCTGGAATTCATGATAGCTACATGCAGCACTGGTTACACTGGCACAAGAGCAGCGCAAAAGATCCTTCATTTCCTTGGTAAACAAGTCTGCAGGAACCTGGAATGTGCACTAGTTTGGCTCATCAAGACATGTCCCAACCTGGCTCCCCTTCCAGTTTGGGAGTTCCCTCGACGCCCCTCTCCAACGCTACCAGAACACGGTCGATGGAAACAGTAGCTTCAATTGCCTAAGAGGGTTAGATGCCAAAGCTTTCAAATGTCGCAATTTTCATGTTGTCGCCTATCATCTGGTTCATTTCGTTTGACGGTTGCTCGGTAACGTCTACGAAGCTCCCAATAATTTTTGCCGGTACTCCTACAGCAACGGAATGTGCTGGAAGATCTGTGATTACTAGAGTTCCGGCACCAACCTGAACCAGCGCCCAATTCGCGAAGTGAGATGGAACTGTTGTCATGAATGCGCCGATTGAATCTTTCAGGATGAGCAAGCTGGGCTACCTACCTGACAACCGGTCCCTATTACGACATTGCCAAGCACGGTGGCACCCGCTCCCAACAAAACACCATCTTGAATTTTCGGGTGACGATCTACTCCTTTCTTTCCACTTCCACCCAGCGTCACATGATGGAGAATACTGCAATTGTTGCCAATCTACAAATGAAAAAGGGGAAACATGAGGGGAGTTTTTCAAATCGAATTCTGTGCTGTGGCAAACAAATTTACATACCATGGCTGTTTCTCCCACAACGATACCAGTTCCGTGATCTAGCATAATTCCTTCTCCCACCGTTGCGTTTGGATGGATATCAATTTGCCAGATTTGGGACACCTGGGACTGTAGGAAGTGCGACAAAACCTGCTTTCCATTCTTCCACATCCAATTGGCGACCCGATGCGACTGAAGAGATTGAAAGCCTTCACAGTTCGCAGAGTTTTCGAGTGAGATGGGTGATGCGTGACAACAATTTTTCAACACTCAACAATCACTGACTCACCTTTGAAATACAAAAATACATCTGGAAGGCAAGTACATGCCGGATCACGGTCTCGCACAGCCAGCATGTCCGCTCTGACAGCTCGTCGAAACTCGGGAGATCTTTGTAGGGCTTCCAATATGAAGGATTGCAGTTGAGTGGATATCAGCATGGGACTACTCAAGCGATTGGCCAGCAAGAAAGCCAGAGAGCTTTCCAGAGATTTGTGATTGAGAATGGTTGAGTAAAGGAATGATACCAACAGTGGTTCCCGTTGTGCTTCTTGATAAGCTTCCCATTGGAGTAGTTCCCAAACAGCATCGTAGGTTTCATTGTACACAGACAATGGAATGGACATATCGATATCGGGGTAGAAAAGGTTTGGTCTTTTAATACCGTTGGGAGAGGCTGCTTCAGCTGTAGCGGATTCTTCTGAAGAGGCAGGAGGATTATTGCTTTTTTGGCCATTGTCTCTGTCTCTATAGTGTCCTTCGTCCCAAATGGCACCTCGAAGTTGCTCCGAGGCTTGGTCTCGTGCTACCATTTTTCGAGTGCTTACAAATTCACCCGTTCGACCTCCTTCATTCACCGAAACGGCATCGGCTGCACTGACGGTCCCATCAGCATCTGCAGGAGTTACTTCATTTACGAGTTCTGGAACCATCCAATGTTCGGTAGCATTTGCAGGGGCTCCTTCTGTTCCATCTTCTTCGCCGTCAAGCCCGAACGGCTGATTCTTTCCCAGGCCAAGGTCGTAAGAATTCTGCTGACGCCTGGCAACAGCGTCTGCATTGGCTTCTAGATCTGGTTCCTGAGGTACCATTCCCATATCTGCAGCATCCGATGAAGGAGACGAAGTTGATGCCTTGGCGGTTGGAAGATTCTTTTTGACATCGGTTGGGAGATCTTGCTCTGATGGGACAGAGTCCTCTATTGCTTCTTCCTCCTTGATGGGAGGACTACTAGTATCTGGATTTACCGCCTTGTTCTGATTGAAAGGCCCCGTGTCACTGCCGCCCTGAGAAAACACATCATCGGGAGACACGAATAGCCGTGTTCCTGGTGGGCAGAATGGACCCAAAAGTCTGTGCTGGGAAGAAAAAGCCTGGGCATGTTGAACCACTAAGGTTACGACAGTGACAAGGAATAGAGACACGCAGAACATGATACTAGTACATGTATTCCAATTATTGCGAGCTATCATGGGGCACAAACAAAGGTTTAAAAAAAGGATGCTGTTGCTTTTTGTGGATGTCGACGATCTTTTCTCTGGAGCCTCTCGGAGGCGCTCCAAAAAGATTTTGAACGTCATTCGCTTTTACATTAGTCTACGTGAATAAATAAATAAATAACTATAAAGGGGATTACGTGAAAGGAACAGTACTAGGTAACGTCCGCTTGTAAAAAGTAGGGGAAGGGATCAAGGGGTTCTGGGCGTGAAGTAGGCATATATGGACCGGCAAGGACTGAGGACGGGATGAGCCGGAGGAATAGAGGGATCGAGCTTGGCGTGTAATAGCGCGTTGAAAGTGTTGTGCTAAGTGGGTAGATAGATTGAGGGCAAGGGATTGGTGTGCCCAGCGTGAAGGTGTGTAGGGTTGGGTGTCAATGGAGTAGTTGGTGGGGGTGACGAAGTGTGTATCAGCAGTGGGGAGAATGGCGGTTGGGGTTGAAAGGAGTTGGCTGTAAGAGCGTTGGGAGTGGGTGGGGAGTTTGGCAGACCATGGGGGTGCTGGGAGGGGGAATGGTTGGCGAGCGGAGCCGTAGAGAAGGGCATGGGCAAAGGGGCCCAGTCCAAGAAATGGGTCACTGTGAAGGGGAGCAGGATGATGCCTGCGTTTTGGAGAGCAGAAAAGTATTGAGTAGGGACAGTGCGAGATTTTGTTGTAAGGTTACTTCGAATCGACTTGAGATGGGCCTGGGAAAGGGTTTTGGGTTGGTGGGCAGACCGGGCACAAGAGGATTCAGGAGGGCTGGTAACAGTAATGTTGATAGCAAGGAAAGAGGATGGAGTGGTAGGGGGAGGTCGAAGGCACGAGGAGTTGAGGGAGATGCCAATATCGGCAGGGCGTTGGTTGGGGTAACGTGAATTCAATCAATCGAATGATTCGATTCAATCGATTGAACTCCTATTTTATTATCCTCAACCCTACCGTTATTAATAGTTCGATCAAACACTTTTTTGTTGAGAAAACACCATGGCCCTCCAACGGGGCATGACGAAACGAGCTTCAGCTCTTTGAAAAACATCATCGCTCAGCACCAGTACTGTGGGTGTCCTCTCCAAGTCTTTGGGTTTGTTTCTTGTGATGATTGTCAAGTAAACGATGTAGATGTTGCGACTTGATTGACCTCGCAGCAACCTTCATACTGCAGGCGATTCTTCATTCCAAGCTTTGCTGGAACTGTACGAGCGATTCTGTGTTTTTCAAGGAATCAGAGGGATCCTTGATGAACAACACTACATGTACTATCCATACTGAAAGCGTTTGAATTATCGGCATCGTCTGTTTATTTTTGTTCAAGAGTCGAGCACAAACATGATCAACAGAAGAAAAGGTTGAGATTTATTTGGAGGCAGTCGTGGTTCTGGAGGCACCAAAAAGAGGTGCAGTCATGGTTGTTGGCTCCAGCACCTTCTTCAATTATTCACGTTTTTTGGTGTCTCATAATGAATGGTTGACCAAAAGCTCTGAAAGCACCCACTAGCTAGATATGTTATCGCCTTTCTGGCCAGCTAGCTAGTGTGCGGAATGCCTAGTATCGAATCCTGCTTCACTTCTTCTAGATCCACCAAGACACCATACACCATCGGACAAAGGGGCCAGTCTGGATATCACCAGCCAGTCGCTCTTTCATTCAGCTCTAGCTAGTGGTACGAGTACGTTGTACCGGCAGGTAAATGTAGTAATTACATATTATATAGATCGAACTGGCTGCATCCAGCAATCCCCAAGGCCTTCTTGACCACGTTTGCCGGTTGCCGAAACGAGAGCAAACACTCCGGCCAGAAGTCAATGCATCTGACCAACCTCCGCTCCAATGATATCGCTAGGCCTAAGCAGGTACCGTATAGTTTGATCCAGAGCCAAAACAAACCCCTTCGCCACTAGCTAGCAGCACCTCCAGTTGCGAGGTGCCAACTGATCAATACAGACGGGATTCCTGAATTTTTGGCAACCGAAGCGAGGAGCTTAGCCTTCAGCCCCCACACCTCGCGCCGGTACCGCCGGCAACACACGCTTCGCTGAATGCTGTGGAGTGTGGAGCTTATCGACACGGTGGGGCTTAACTGAGAGAGTTCAATATATGCCTTTCGGGATTAACTGTGTTGAGTTCTCCCTTGCGTCGATCCCTTGAAGCGTGCTTTGGTACCATAAAGAAGAATCTACCAGCTACTTGTAGGAATGAGGGAATTTAGGAATGCATGTTGTTAGCGCACCACGTAGTCGGCGCCATCCATTAGCTTCACGAGCATTGGTGGACCTAACAATGCTGGCTGTTTGCTTGCCTCCATCGCTCATTTTGCTTCTAAAGCTCTATTGTGATTATCGGTTGCCACTTTGCTTCAGCTACTACAGGTCACCCCAACGATGGTTGTTGGATTTTCTCCAAACGTACCGGTACGGTTGCCTACATGTATTGCTTGCCACCTGTTGAAGCATCTGTACCAAAGCACAAACGGATCTTTTGCCCTCGGTTGCTATTTGCTTCTACATGTGCGAAAGCATAGATCAGAAAGGAATCTGCTCTTCAAGGATCGGAACGATCCATCATGCTTCAGTTGCCGCTTTGCCGCCATCTGAAAACAATACTAACAAATACTTCATCGGCAGTCCGCAGGGTCCTCTCGGCCTTGGTTGCCGATTGATCGAGAGTTACCCTCGTATTCTGGAAGCTCGAAGCCGATTCAAAGTTCAAACGGACTTGCGGAATGGATGCGGGTTTCCTAATGCCCAAAAATGGCTTCAGAGATCTACAGTCGCCAGCATTAATCATTGTGTCGTTGACAACACAATAAGGAGAGGAGTAGATGGACTGAGGACGATTCTTGAGTGTGTGACTGAATCTGTGCCAGCGTCCCCTGTTTAAGAGAGTTTTTAATGTCTGATAGACGCTCAAGATATCTTCAGATCTTCAGCTCTCCTTCATCTACTACAGGCTTTTCTGAAAATGGCTGTTATGTTCTACTGTTCTACATTGCCCTCCTTTGTTATAGTAAAAGCTACGAAACCATGAACTGCCTGAGCATTGAGCATACTACATGTACATACATGTACAGTCATATCTTGATGGTCCATCTAGTGAAAAACAAAACCATGATCTCTAATCCGATGTTTTAACATGTCTAGGGCGCCTTCTAGCTGTTCATGACAGGTCTCAATTGTTAACGACTCTAGAATTGGTGTACTAAAATGGAGAACTTGGGGGTTCCTCGGTGGTACAGTACACAAATTTACACAGTACGTACCCAAGAAAGTATTGCTCAGGGTACCGTTACTCCAAAGTAGCAACCGAGATGATATAACACAATATTCCCCCTCTATACACCCTTTCACTAGATGAGAGACCCTCAAACGCACGCGATGTAATACATGTAATACGTACAATGCGTATTCTACGTATTCCCGTATAATACGTATAACACGTATTACACGGTCGCCAGCCAGCCACCGTGACCGTTCGAGTGACCGTTCGTTTCGCAAAATGGCTTCAACACCAATCTCCACCAATCTCCACCAATCTCCACAACACACACCATGAGATAAACCTCTCTCCTCTTGTTGCTTTGAAGGATACAGAGGTTTCTGTTGTTATTTGAAGATAGTACCATCATTGTGGGTAAGTAGGCAATGTGGTATGGCTTTGTTGAAGCCAAGAAGACTGTTTCTGTGGAAAGATAGAAGGATTTCTCTCCATTCAACTCCTTCTTCATTCTCCTGCCCCCACTCTCTTTATCAGGCTTTGTCAAGCTCACAGGACCATTCTCTTTGCATTCATATACTTCTGAAGGCTCACTGACGAAGCCTGTGGAAGATCTGGCCTTGATTTTCACCATCGTCAACAACTTCCTGTAGGGACCAGTACTGAACCCATGTAAGTACCCAAGCGCGCAACACGTGTTATGCATGATATACGTGTTATATGTGTTATATGTGTTACCCGTGTTACCCGTGTTATACATATTAACTGTGTTGTACGTATTAACTGTGTTATACGTATAACACGTATTACCTGTGTTATATGTATTACCTGTGTTATACGTATTACCGTGTTATACGTATTACCTGTGTTGGTCGTATTGTGCATGTTACCCGTGTTTGTTGTCTCACATATTTTCGTTTTCTTCATTAGTATTTTCGTTTAGGCATCATGTCGGGTTCTGACGATGAAGATGGTGCGCAAGACGCTGGAGAAGACGTTGCTCGAGAAGAGGAGAAGGATGACGAATCTGAGGAGGAGATTCCCTTTGGCCCTGACAATCCTGGTCCTTTTTTCCCCGAACAAATCACTCCCCGCAACTTTGTTACATGTATTCAAGAAGCCATTCCGATGACCGCGAAGCGCCGAAACGAAGATGGATCCATCACCACGCATCCTATCTACCATCCTGGACTGTCAGCATTTTGTCACCAATGCTTTGAGCCTGGTGTTGCACAGAGTAGTGCCAAAAGTGCTAACTCCTTCAAAGTCCGAAAGGTTGGTCCTAGCATGTACAATCATTCTAGACCTCCAAACGAAGATGGATCGGTGGGAGGTGGAATGTCTTCAAGAAAGGACCTCTGTGAAAGGCGATATGATGGTATCGCAGGTAATGTTGCTGCAGAGATAGCTGCAGAAGCCGAAGCACAATTCTGTTGGTGACTTTGTTGTTGATTTTCCTCGGTCTTTGAGTCTTTCACATTGAGTCTCACAAAGAACCTTTCTGCTGACTGTCTATAGGCACTGTAATTGTCTCTGGCCTGCCACTGCCGAATCAGCTTGCTGCTAGCCTCTTTTAGCAAACCTTGGCAATTTTGTTGGGTCGGATTGCAATCGGGCAAGTAGCCTGTCTGCAGCTGTCGCCTCCTGATGCGGTACTTGAGAGATGGTACCGTCTGGCTTCACCAAAGACAAGACAACTCCTTGATGCAAACTCTTCCTTAGAGATTCGATTTGTTTCGA